TAATTGAAATTTCTCATCGTTGAACTTCATATTGTTTTCTGCAGCCCACTGAAAGATTTGGTTGATGTCCGCCTGGAGCCTTGCAGTGTCTGCAATGGAAGACACTGTCATGCAGATTCGGGTGTCATCTGCAAAGGAAGACACGGTGCTGTGGCTGACATCCTTGTCTATGTCGGATATGAGGATGAGGAACAAGATGGGAGCGAGTACTGTGCCTTGTGGAACAGAGCTTTTCACCGTAGCTGCCTCGGACTTTACTCTGTTGACGACTACTCTCTGTGTTCTGTTAGTGAGGAAATTATAGATCCATCGACCGACTTTTCCTGTTATTCCTTTAGCACGCATTTTGTGCGCTATTACGCCATGGTCACACTTGTCGAAGGCTTTTGCAAAATCTGTATATATTACATCTGCATTCTTTTTGTCTTCTAGTGCATTTAGGACCTTGTCGTAGTGATCCAATAGTTGAGACAGACAGGAGCGACCTGTTCTAAACCCATGTTGCCCTGGGTTGTGTAACTGATGGGTTTCTAGATGGGTGGTGATCTTGCTTCTTAGGACCCTTTCAAAGATTTTTATGATATGGGATGTTAGTGCTATCGGTCTGTAGTTCTTTGCTGTTGCTTTACTGCCCCCTTTGTGGAGTGGGGCTATGTCTGTTGTTTTTTAGTAACTGTGGGACGACCCCCGTGTCCATGCTCCCTCTCCATAGGATGGAAAAGGCTCGTGATAGGGGCTTCTTGCAGTTCTTGATGAACACGGAGTTCCATGAGTCTGGCCCTGGGGCAGAGTGCATGGGCATGTCATTTATCGCCTGTTCGAAGTCATTTGGCGTCAGGATAACATCGGATAGGCTTGTGTTAACCAAATTTTGTGGCTCTCTCATAAAAAAATCATTTTGATCTTCGACTCTCAGTCTGGTTAGCGGCTTGCTAAAATCTGAGTCATATTGGGACTTGAGTAGCTCACTCATTTCCTTGCTGTCATCTGTGTAGGACCCATCTTGTTTAAGTAGGGGCCCAATACTGGACGTTGTTCTCGACTTTGATTTGGCATAGAAGAAATACTTTGGGTTTCTTTCGATTTCATTTATGGCTTTTAGTTCTTCCCATGATTCCTGACTCCTATACGATTCCTTTAGCTTAAGTTCGATGCTTGCTATTTCTCTGGCCAGTGTCTCCCTACGCATTTCAGATATATTGACCTCTTTTAGCCGCTCTGTTATTCTTTTCCGTCGCCTGTAAAGGGAGCGCCTGTCTCTATTTTACATCTACTCCTCCTTTTTCTTAGAGGAATAAGCCTTGTGCATACATCGAGTGCCACCAAGTTAATCTGTTCTAGGCATAAGTTGGGGTCTGTGTTGCTTAGTATATCTTCCCAGTTTATATCGGTTAGGACTTGGTTTACTTGGTCCCACTTTATGTTTTTGTTATTGAAGTTGAATTTAGTGAATGCTCCCTCGTGACTAGTCTCATTATGTCGGTCTGGGGCTCCACGCATACATGTCTGAACCTCAATTATGTTGTGATCTGAGTATATTGTTTTTGATATGGTGACATTTCTTATCAGATCATCATTGTTAGTGAAGATGAGGTCTAGTGTATTCTCTAGTCTAGTAGGCTCTATTATTTGCTGGTTTAAATTGAATTTTGTGCAGAGATTTAAAAGCTCGTGTGAGTGTGAGTTTTCATCAGAGCTGCCTCCTGGTGTTATTACTGCAACAATATTATTTGCTATATTCCTCCATTTTAGATGCCTTAAGTTGAAATCCCCCAGGAGCAAGATGTTGGGTGCAGGAGCTGGAAGATTTTCCAGACAGTGGTCAATTTTTAACAGCTGTTCCTGGAATTGCTGGGATGTTGCATCCGGAGGCTTGTAGACTACCACAATGACTAGGTTTTGGTTCTCGACCTTTACTGCTAAAACTTCCACTACATCATTTGAGGCATTAAGCAGTTCTGTGCAAACAAGTGACTCTGCAATGTACAGGCCAACCCCCCCCCCCCTTTTGCCTGTTCACTCTGTCACATCTGTCACAATATGTCAACTAGGCCTGTATACCTTGCACATGTAGAAATAGATATATTAATATTATGCTCGGTAGGCAACGCTCTCGCCTAACAAACTGTCTGTGGTTCAATCCCCGGCCAGTTAGAAACACTGAGCATGTTTCTTTACATTTTCTGTCCCTGTTCACCTAGCAGAAAAATAGGTACCTGGGTGTTAGTCGACTGGTGGGGGTGGCATCCTGGAGGACAAGACTGAAGGACCCGATGGATATAAGACAAGAGTACTTGATGACGCACTGATTTTCTTGGGTTACCCTGAGCGGATAACCCCCCCGAGTTAAAAATCCAAACAAATCTTATCTCATTTTATCATTTGTAGTCTGCATTGACTCTTCTCAGACCATTATCACCGTACACTCATAATGTTGCAATGTTTGTGGCTCAGTCTGGTATTGTTTGATCTGTTAACAATACAGTCTCTGTGGTCTCATGATTTATTAAGCATACATTACGAAATTATGACTACTGAATAATAATTCATCACAGTTATCAATATGCATCCCTAAAGGAGTAACTTGAAGTGGTTGTTTCTTGATCTTAGGTTTTCGTTTATAACATGAGAACAATCAAATTTTCAACACTCATGATCTGTAGATGAGTGATATAAAGCATCGCGTTGAGGAACTATGCCAGTCTCCAGACGTGGGTTCAAATCCTGCTGACGATCTTTCTTTGTATATACCTCCGCTTGTTTCTGCGTGGTGCATTGGCATAGTATCACTCGATGTGGTCAGAACATACAGGAAGAGAATTAAATAGCTGGAAATCATGCCTGAGGCTCACTGAAGTGCCCGGGGCTAGGAAGAAACATGGCTTGTAACCAGGCTACCTTGCCTTTTGAGGCATCTGTAGCCGAGTGGTCCTAAAACATCACCTTGGTGAGCTATGACCCTCTCCACACGTGGGTTCGAATCCTGCTGATCGCGATCTTTCTCTGTCCTCACCTAGTTGTGGTTGCAGGGGTCGATTCACAGCTCCTGGCCCCACTTATTTCTGCGTGGTGCACTGATATATAATAATATTTTTATTTACTACAAATACATGTGCATGGTATACAGGCCTAGCTGACATTAATGACTTACTACTATCGACTAAAACCCAGGTACCCACTCAGGTATAAAGAAACACACCCACCGTGGCCCGGTGGTCTGGTGGCTTAAGCTCCCGCTTCACACACGGAGGGCCCGGGTTCGATTCCCGGCGGGTGGAAACATTTCGACACGTTTCCTTACACCTGTTTTCCTGTTCACCTAGCAGCAAATAGGTACCTGGGTGTTAGTCGACTGGTGTGGGTCGCATCCTGGGGGACAAGATTAAGGACCCCAATGGAAATAAGTTAGACAGTCCTAGATGACGCACTGACTTTCTTGGGTTATCCTGGGTGGCTAACCCTCCGGGGTTAACAATCCGAACGAAATCTCTCTCTCTACCCTGGCTGGGAATCGAAGCGAGAGCTTAGCCACCAGAGCCCAACCTGAACTATTTTTAATATCAGAAGGGGACTGAGGGAATCGTCCCTCAGTCTGGAGTCGATGTAAACAGTCCCTCCTCCATACCCTGAGTTAGTGTGATGAGGGCCAAGCCAGACATATGACTTCACTGTGGAGTGGCTTAGTGTGGCTTAAACAAGCTGACAGTAAGTTTCTTATGCTCCAAGTTAAGCCGTCACACTCGCTTATCCCAGAACTGTACCACTAATGTATCGCCTTACACAGTAACGTTACCAATCATTATCACGGGAAATTGTGAAACCCGTAAGGGTCATACCGGACCTGGGAGTGGGCGTAATTAGGTTTGTTCACAGAGGAAAATAGCTCCAATTCCTGAGATCAAGAGCCCTGCATCAGTTCAAGGCAATGCTAGTACTTCTAGTACTAGTTCTTAGCAGCAAGAGAAAGTGAAAGATGTTAATACTATGAATAGTATTTTTACTATTACTACTAATAATGCTTTAATATTATTTGTACTAGTAATAATAGTTTTATTACTAGTAGTAGTAGTAATAGTTGTATTACTACTAGTAATAGTTTTATTACTACTAGCAGTAATAGTTTTTTTACTACTAGTAGTAATAGTTTTACTATTACTACTAGTAGTAGTAATAGCTTTATTACTACTAGTAATAGTTTTATTATTACTACTAGTAGTAATAGTTTTGTTACTAGTAATAGTTTTATTATTACTACTAGCAGTAATAGTTTTGTTACTAGTAATAGTTTTATTATTACTACTAGCAGTAATAGTTTTGTTACTAGTAATAGTTTTATTATTACTACTAGCAGTAATAGTTTTGTTACTAGTAATAGTTTTATTATTACTACTAGCAGTAATAGTTTTTGTTACTTAGTAATTTGTTTATATTACTACTAGCAGTAATAGTTTTGTTACTAGTAATAGTTTTATTATTACTACTAGCAGTAATAGTTTTGTTTTGCTACTACTAGTAGTAATAGTTTTACTATTACTCGTACTAGTAGTTTTACTAGTTTTTACTAGCAACACTTGTCATAGTTTTAACATTACTGGTAGTACTTGTAACAAGGCAGCACTAGTGTTAGTACTAATACTTGTATTTCATCTAGTACTAAGCTCTAATACTATTACTTCTAGTACCAATAGCTTTACTAGTAAAAATATTACTTTCTGTACTAGTTATATTACTACTAGAAGAGAAATGCTACAAGTAGTATTAATAGTAATACTAGTAACAGTAATAACATTAGTGTTAATAGTAATACTAGTAGTAGTATTAATATCAATACTAGTATTAAAAGTAGTACTAGTAGTATTAGTGCTAGTTCTAGTAAGTCTGATAGATAACTTCAAATTCTAAACTCTGTACCCTAAACTCATGCTGTTAAAACGGTGATAAATAAAGGTAAAAATCAAACAGTTGCTTACAAACCAACACCCGGTTTTAACGGTACTTACAAAAGCAGACAAGTAAAGCACTTTTCACTTAGAAAACCCGATTAAAACACTTGGTAGTGCTAACTAAGCGCCCACTTGTTGATCTCGGGACGGCTTCTGTTGTCTCTTCTTCCCTCACTCAAGAGGAAACTTAGTGCTTTTACAATCTCAGCTAATCAGAATAGAGGTTGGGGCTTGCGGTTGATAAAGACGGCGTTCTGATTGGCTGATTGCTTAAGAGGTTATCCACTGCTGACCTATGAGAATCAGTCATATGACAGACCAGCTGACTGCTGGCAGCGCCATCTACGGTGTTCGTTTCCGTGCAATTTGGCTCCTCTGGGCTTTAAAAATATTAGATATACATGATTAATAATTTTAGAGGTTCGAATATATTCAGAAACCAAACTTATATAATAAATATGATTCCTAGCAATAAGAGGTAATAATATTTAAGTAGAAGTTTCTTAAATATGTCATACTTTAGTAATCCGAACAACCCTGGACTCGGGACATTTGAACGGAATTATCGCAAAAAATACCACACTAACATTTAGATGAGTGTATATACACCTAGATGTGTATATATGTCGATGTATATATACAGAGAGCTTAGTATAATCCCTGATGTTATTGTTCGGATAAACTACGTGAATAATAACGGATGGACGAGGAAGTTATAAATTAAAATATACTTTTCCCTTTTAAATGCTTAATGTAGGTCACGTTTTATTTACAAGACGACAGTAAATGAAAACTCTTGTCCTGGATGTGCCGAGGGACAAGTGTTTACATGATGATTATGTCGATATAATAATATAACTACTAATAACTAATAATAATAATAATAATAATAATAATATAATAATAATAATAATAATAATAATAATAATACATCACTCCATGATTATATACACCTGGAAATCCTTAGAGGGACTAGTACCGAACTTTGCCACGAAAATCACTCACATACGAAAGACAAAAGACTTGGCAGACAATGCCACCATCCCCCCAATGAAATGCAGGGGTGTCACTAGCACGGTAAGAGACCATACAATTGAGTGTCGGGCCGAGTCTGTTCAACTGCCTCCCAGCCATTACATAAGGGGGATCCTAACAGACCCCTGGCAGTCCTTAAAGCTGGCATCTGGACAAGCACCTAAAATCTGGTTCCTGACCTAGCCGGGGGCTGTGGCTCGTACCTTGGTTTGCGTGCAGCCAGCAGCAACAGCCTGGTTGATCAGGCTCTGATCCACCAGGAGGCCTGGTCACAGACCGGGCCGCGGGGGCGTTGACCCCCGGAACTCTCTCCAGGTAAACCACCACCACCAACAACAACAATAATAATAATAATAATGACACCAACAATAGCAATAATAATAATAATAATAATAACGTGTCATAAGGTACCAGACTAACAATGTGTATCAGATGGAGTGCTGGTGTACTGTACAGGAAGAGTAGCAGTGTAGTGTCTTGTGGCTCGGTTGGCAACACAATTGCCTGACACTGAGTGTTCGTGGTTCAATCCCCGGCACGGGTGGAAACGTTGGGCATGTTTCCTTACACATGCTGTCCTTGTTCACCTAGCAGTAAGTAGGTACCTGGGTGTTAGTCAGCTGGTGTGGGTTGCATCCTGGGGGACAAGATTAAAGGACCACAGTAGAAGTAAGACTGACAGTCCTCGATGACGTACTGACTTTCTTGGGTTATCTGGGTACGTTAACCCTCGTACCCTGAGTTATCCTGGGTAGTTATCCCCTCCTACCTGGGTTTCCTGAAGCTAACCCTCGCTACCCTGAGTTATCCTGGGTAGTTAACCCTCCCTACCCTGGGTTATCCTGGATAGCTAACCCTCGCTACCCTGAGTTATCCTGGGTAGTTAACCCTCCCTACCCTGGGTTATCCTGGATAGCTAACCCTCGCTACCCTGAGTTATCCTGGGTAGTTAACCTCCCTACCTGGGGTTCCTGGTAGCTAACCCTCGCTTACCCTGAGTGATCTGGGTAGTTAACCTCCCTACCCTGGGTTATCCTGGATAGCTAACCCCGCTACCTGGTTATCCTGGGTTGTCTAACCCTCCTACCTGGGTTATCCTGGATAGCTAACCCTCGCTACCCTGGGTTATCCTGGATAGCTAACTCCATACCCTGGGTTATCCTGGATAGCTAAACTTCCTTGCCCTGGGTTATCCTGGATAACTATCCCTTCCTGCCCTGAGTTACCCTGGATAGCTAACCCTCTCTACCCAGGGCTATCCTCGATAGCTAACTCTCCCTTCTCTGGGTTATCCTGGATAGCTAACTTTCCTTATCCTGGGTTATCTTGGATAGCTAACTCTCCCTACTCTGGGTTATCCTGGATGGCTAACTCTCCCTACTCTGAGTTATCCTGGATAGCTCACCCTCTCTACCCAGGGTTATCCTCGATAGCTAACTCTCCCTACTCTGGGTTATCCTGGATAACTAACTCTCCTTATCCTGGATTATCTTGGATAGCTAATCCTCCCTACCCTGGGTTATCCTGGATAGCTAACTCTCCCTACCCGGGGTTATCTTGGATAGCTAACCCTCCCTACCCTGGGTTATCCTGGATAGCTAACTCTCCCTACCCTGGGTTATCAGGGATAGCTAACCCTCCCTACCCTGGGTTATCACGGATAGCTAACCTTCCCTACCCTGAGTTATCCTGGGTTATCCTGAATAGCTAACTCTCCCTACTCTGAGTTATCCTGGATAGATAACCCTCCCTACCCTGGGTTATCCTGGATAGCTAACTCTCTTTACCCTGGGTTCATTTAGATAGCTAATCTTCCTAACCCTGGGTTATCTGGATAGCTCAACTCTCCCTACCATGGGTTTATTCATGGTTTGGATAGCTAACTCTCCCTACCCTGGGTTATCCTGGATAGCTAACTCCCCCTACCCTGGGTTATCTTGGATAGCTAACCCTTCCTACCCTGGGTTAAAAATCTCAAAATCCTATCTTATCTTACAGCAAGAGTGGAGATGTAGTGCATAGTGTCCAACAAGAGTGGAGGTGTATTGTACAGTGCACAAGAGTGATGTACAGTGTACAAGAGTGAGGTACAGTGTACAAGAGTGGATGTACAGGTGTACAAGAGTGATGTACCGTGTACAAGGGGAGTGATGTACAGTGTACAAGAGTGATGTACAGTGTTCAAGGGTGATGTACAGTGTACAAGATGATGTTGCAGTGTACAAGAGTGAGTACAGTGCACAAGGTGAAGTACAGTGTACATGAGTGATGTACAGTGTACAAGAGTGGGTACAGTTTGTACAAGAGTGGATGTACAGTGTACAAGGAGTTGATGTACAGGGCAAAGAGTGATGTACAGTGTACAAGAGTGATGTACAGTGTACAAGAGTGATGTACAGTGTACAAGAGTGATGTACAGTGTACAAGAGTGATGTACAGTGTACAAGAGTGATGTTACAGTTGTACAAGGAGTGAGGTACAGTGTTTACAGAGTGATGTACTGTGCACAAGAGTGATGTACAGTTGTTTACAAGAGTGAGTACAGTGTACAAGAGTGTTTGTCACCAGGTGTCTACAGAGTGATGTACAGTGTACAAGAGTGATGTACAGTGTACAAGGAGTGATGTACAGTGTGCAAGATGTGATGTACAGTGTACAGAGCTGATGACAGTGTAAAGAGTGAATGTACAGTGTACAAGAGTGATGTACAGTGTACAAGAGTGATGTACAGTGTACAAGAGTGATGTACAGTGTACAAGAGTGATGTACAGTGCACAAGAGTGATGTACAGTGTACAAGAGTGATGTACAGTGTACAAGAGTGATGTACAGTGTACAAGAGTGATGTTAACAGTGTTACAGAGTGATGTACAGTGTACAAGAGTGATGTTTCAGTGCACAAGAGTGATGTTCCAGTGTATACAGAGTGATGTACAGTTGTACATAGAGTGTTGTTACAGTGTACAAGAGTGATGTTACAGTGTACAAGAGTGATGTACAGTTGTACAAGAGTTGATGTACAGTGTACAAGAGTGATGTACAGTTTCAAGAGTGATGTTACAGTGACACAAGGAGTTGATGTAACAGTGTACAAGAGTGATGTACGTGTACAAGAGTGATGTACAGTGTCAAGAGTGATGTACAGTGTACAAGAGTGATGTACAGTGTACAAGAGTGATGTACAGTGTACAAGAGTGATGTACAGTGTACAAGAGTGATGTACAGTGTACAAGAGTGATGTACAGTGTACAAGAGTGATGTACAGTGTACAAGAGTGATGTACAGTGTAGAAAAACTAAAATATTTATATTATGATTATAATTTTTAAAGGGGGTGGAGGGGTAAGCCAGCGGAAGGCCTCGGTCAGATGACGAAAAGCTCCAACGTCGAGTCATCACCTAAGACCCGCGTCAGGAAACACTTATCCTGTTTCCTGACAAACCTAACCTAGTGTACAAGAAGAATGGAGGTGTATTATACAAAGTAGGGGAGTACTTGTACAACAGGGCTGAGGGTCCTGGTAGAGCGGTCACATCAGTGGAAGTTAGTTGTGATCCAGCCACCAGTGGCAGTGCCAGTGTTTTGAGAGATCTACTAGTAACCTAACTCACCGCCTCTCCTACACCTAGCACAGGATTATATTTTCGTTAGTAACCCGGAAGGTTAGTAATAACCCAAGAGAAGCGATCAGTTTGGTTTATTGCCTTAAGGGGATTATTTAATCCTCTTCCCTAGGATGTCACCCATAATATTAAGTTTATTCAGGTACACATAAATAGTTACATAAATTATCACACATAGCAGCATATGACTTATTATTTAAACCTTAAAGGTAAAAAGAGCTAAGTAACTCAAGAATGTGACAAGCAGTGACAATAAAAGGATATATACTAAGGTAGTAGGTTGGTAGACAGCAACCACCCAGGGAAGTACTACCGTCCTGCCAGATGACTGTGAAACAAAAACCTGTAACTGTTTTGCATGACGGTAGGATTGCTGGTTTCTTTTTCTGTCTCATAAACACGCTAAGATAACAGGGATATCTTGCTACTCCTACTTACACTTTGGTTCACCCACTCACGACACGAATGCAATATATATATACATACATCTAGGTTTTTTCCTTATTCTAAATAGCTCTTGTTCTTTTTATTTCTTCTATTGTCCATGGGGAAGTGGGGAAAGAATCTTTCCTCCGTAATGCCATGCGTGTCGTATGAGGCGACTAATATGCCGGGGATCCATGGGCTAGTAACCCCTTTCCTGTATACAATTATTTAAAAAAGAGAAGAAGAAAAACTTTATAAAACTGGGTTGCTTAAATGTGCGTGGTATGTAGTGCGGATGGACAAGAAACAGAATGATTGCTGATGTATGAATTGAAAAAGAAAGTTGGATTCCTGGCCCTAAGCGAACAACAAAGCTGAAGGAGGGGGTAGGAGAGTTTCAGTTGGGGGGAAATAATGGGATTAAATCTGGAGTATCTGAGAGAGTTAGAGCAACGGAAGGGGTAGCAGTAATGTTTAAATGATCAGTTATGGAATGAGGAAAGTGAATTGAATGTGTAAATTCAAGAATTATGTGGCTAAAGTTAAAGGTTGTTGGGGGCGAGAAGTGGGTCATAATAAGGTGTATGCACCTGGAGAAGAGAGAATGAGAGGAGAGAGAGCGATTTTGGGAGATGTTAAGTGAATGTATAGGAGCCTTTGGAACCCAGAGAGAGAGTATTGTGGTAGGGGATTGAAATCAAAGTAGGAGAAGAAACTTTTAGAGAGGGGTGTTTTCGGTAGGTAAGTTTGGTGGTGCCAGGTTGTAAATGATAATGGAGCCTTTGATTGAACTTTGTATAGAAAGGGGTTTTAGTTATAGGTAATACATATTTTAAGAAAAAGAGGATAAATAAGTATACACGATATGATGTAGGGCAAAAAATGACAGTAGTTTGTTGGATTATGTATTGGTAGATAAAAGACTGTTGAGTAGACTTCAGGATGTACATGTTTATAGAGGGCCACAGATATATAGATCACTTTCTAGTTGTAGCTACACTGAGAGTAAAAGGTAGATGGGATACAAGGAGAATAGAAGCATCAGGGAAGAGAGAGGTGAAGGTTTATAAACTAAAAGAGGAGGCAGTTAGGGTAAGATATAAACAGCTATTGGAGGATAGATGGGCTAATGAGAGCATAGGCAATGGGGTCGAAGAGGTATGGGGTAGGTTTAAAAATGTAGTGTTAGAGTGTTCAGCAGAAGTTTGTGGTTACAGGAAAGTGGGTGCAGGAGGGAAGAGGAGCGATTGGTGGAATGATGATGTAAAGAGAGTAGTAAGGGAGAAAAAGTTAGCATATGAGAAGTTTTTACAAAGTAGAAGTGATGCAAGGAGGGAAGAGTATATGGAGAAAAAGAGAGAAGTTAAGAGAGTGGTGAAGCAATGTAAAAAGAGAGCAAATGAAGAGAGTGGGTGAGATGTTATCAACAAATTTTGTTGAAAATAAGAAAAAGTTTTGGAGTGAGATTAACAAGTTAAGAAAGCCTAGAGAACAAATGGATTTGTCAGTTAAAAATAGGAGAGGAGAGTTATTAAATGGAGAGGTAGAGGTATTGGGAAGATGGAAGGAATATTTTGAGGAATTGTTAAATGTTGATGAAGATAGGGAAGCTGTGATTTCGTGTATAGGGCAAGGAGGAATAACATCTTGTAGGAGTGAGGAAGAGCCAGTTGTGAGTGTGGGGGAAGTTCGTGAGGCAGTAGGTAAAATGAAAGGGGGTAAGGCAGGGCCCGGGATTGATGGGATAAAGATAGAAATGTTAAAAGCAGGTGGGGATATAGTTTTGGAGTGGTTGGTGCAATTATTTAATAAATGTATGGAAGAGGGTAAGGTACCTAGGGATTGGCAGAGAGAGCATGCATAGTTCCTTTGTATAAAGGCAAAGGGGATAAAAGAGAGTGCAAAAATTATAGGGGGATAAGTCTGTTGAGTGTACCTGGTAAAGTGTATGGTAGAGTTATAATTGAAAGAATTAAGAGTAAGACGGAGAATAGGATAGCAGATGAACAAGGAGGCTTTAGGAAAGGTAGGGGGTGTGTGGACCAGGTGTTTACAGTGAATCATATAAGTGAACAGTATTTAGATAAGGCTAAAGAGGTCTTTGTGGCATTTATGGATTTGGAAAAGGCGTATGACAGGGTGGATAGGGGGGGCAATGTGGCAGATGTTGCAAGTGTATGGTGTAGGAGGTAGGTTACTGAAAGCAGTGAAGAGTTTTTACGAGGATAGTGAGGCTCAAGTTAGAGTATGTAGGAAAGAGGGAAATTTTTTCCCCGTAAAAGTAGGCCTTAGACAAGGATGTGTGATGTCACCGTGGTTGTTTAATTATTTATAGATGGGGTTGTAAGAGAAGTAAATGCGAGGGTCTTGGCAGAGGCGTGGAGTTAAAAGATAAAGAATCACACACAAAGTGGGAGTTGTCACAGCTGCTCTTTGCCGATGACACTGTGCTCTTGGGAGATTCTGAAGAGAAGTTGCAGAGATTGGTGGATGAATTTGGTAGGGGTGTGCAAAAGAAGAAATTAAAGGTGATACAGGAAAGAGTAGGTTATGAGGATAACAAAAAGATTAGGTGATGAAAGATTGAATATCAGATTGGAGGGAGAGAGTATGGAGGAGGTGAACGTATTCAGATATTTGGGAGTGGACGTGTCAGCGGATGGGTCTATGAAAGATGAGGTGAATCATAGAATTGATGAGGGAAAAAGAGTGAGTGGTGCACTTAGGAGTCTGTGGAGAGAAAGAACTTTGTCCTTGGAGGCAAAGAGGGGAATGTATGAGAGTATAGTTTTACAACGCTCTTATATGGGGTGTGAAGCGTGGGTGATGAATGTTGCAGCGAGGAGAAGGTGGAGGCCAGTGGAGATGTTGTCTGAGGGCAATGTGTGGTGTGAATTGAATGCAGAGAATACGTTAGTTTGGAAGTTTCGGGGAGGTGCGGGTTTACCAAAAACTGTTGTCCAGAGGGCCTGTGGAGGGTTGTTTGAGGTGCGTTCGGTACATGTAGAGGAGAATGAGCGAAACAGAATGGACTTCAAGAGTGTATCAGTCTGTAGTGGAAGGGAAGGCGGGGTAGTGGGTCGGCCTAGGAAGGGATTGGAGGGAGGGGGTAAGGAGGTTTTTGTGTGCGTAGGGGCTTGGACTTACCACAGGCATGCGTGAGCGTGTATGATAGGAGTGAATGGAGACAAATGGTTTTTATACTTGACGCCCCCCCCCCCCCCCCTGCTGTTGGAGTGTGAGCAAAGTAAATTTATGAAGGGATTCAGGGAAACCGGCAGTCGGACATTGAGTCCTGGTGATGGGAAGTTACAGTGCCTTAACTCTGAAGGGAGGGGTGTTAATGTTGCAGTTTAAAAATGTAGTGTAAAGCACCCTTTGGCCGAAGACAGTGATGGAGTGAATGATGGTGAAAGTTTTTCTTTTGCGGGGCCACCCTGCCTTGGTGGGATTCGGCCAGGTGTGATAATAATAATAAAAAATACTTAAGGTAAACTGAGTTATTTACATTAAATTAAAAGAGGTAACCAGATCACAGCATTAGGTACATATAAGTGCTATCTCAAGAAATCATTCTCCTCCTTACTGTAGCTACATTCATTTAGGTACCGTTTGATTCTATTCTAGAAACTGGTTCCTTCTATGACAGCTTTGCATGTGCGGGCAGTCCATTCACTCATGTATTACTTACAGTAAAATGTATTTGTAGCCTGACACTGATGTAGGTATACAAAGTTGTGCTCTCTCCCTAGTACTATACTTGCTCGTGAGCAATTTTATAAACTTGATTTAATTTCAGTTGTTTTACTTGTCGTCAAATTCAGTTGTAAGAGAGTCTGGAGCTGGCTACCATCTGCAGCTCATAAGAGCCATCCCCACGAGCCCTTTGATGCGGGGTAGTTGGGATGACAGAGGCCTAGCTTTTCCCTACGAGCCCGTGAGGCGGGGAATGTGGCTAGGCCTGGGGACACTTGGTCCCAAAGATGAGGAGGTACTTGTACCTCCTCCCATGGGGGCTGTCTTAAGTTCGAGACACTCCCCAGATTCGGGAGCTCAAGGCGGAGTCACCACTACTTGGGAAAAGACCCGGGCCGGGAGAATACCGGTGAATAAAAAAAAAAAAAAAAACATTCAGTATATCCAGTTGCTGTAATTCATCCTGGCCTACATGTTCTGTTGGACCCAGGTCCAGGATGAATCTTACCATTTTGTTCTGGGTGGTTTGTAGTCTATCTCAGTATTTTTGTTAAGGCATGAAAAGCAAGAGTAATCTATATGACACTGTGTAAGAGCTAGACATAGTGTCCTTAGAGCCTGTCTGTAGAGGAACTTTAGTCTGGCATTTGCTTTCTTTGCTACACAGTTCCCTATCAATTCTGACATGCTTGGGTCAAAGGGGATTCCCAGATAGTATTTCACTGAGGATACTGAAGTGATGGGTTCCCCATTACACTGGACATTAATATTATTTATTCGTTTCAGTTTATTTTTCATGTCGAGTATAGCTTCCGTTTTCCCGAGGTGTAACGAATTTTTTTTAAATTTTTGTTGTCTATAACCATTTTGGCTGCAGGACCTCTGGTACTAGCGATAGTATATAACGTATATCTTGT